AAAAAAAATCGTTATTGAACACAGCATTGCGTTGCCCGACCGAATTCGCCCATATTTTAAAGTGATACTACGTTTTAAAATGAACATAAAATTTAAGTTCTCAAGAATGGTCAATATATTCACCAGTGAACTTACCCGGTGTCATAAAGTTACTACAGAATCCATGTAAAATCTGTAAAATTGGAAAATTCAAAATACTAAGTAATTATTCTTAAACTTAAGCGTTTTTCATTAGTTAATATTTATGGATAATTACTAAGTTTGTTGGATTTATCGGATTATGTAAGGATCCCGTTATTTATGGTATATCTACTGATGAATATATATTCTTATTGGCCAGGTTTAAAATTCTTAAATTCTATGTTCATTTTAAGTTGTAGTATTCTTTTAAAGTTAGGACGTAATTCTTAATTCTATTTAATTTGATTAAAATCCAGCATGCTATGAAAAGTCTAGACACTGTCTTCAGCAAAGAATGACTATTGCAATTATGAAAGACGGTGTATGAAATTAAGAAACCAGAATTCGGTTAATCATGTGATTAAAATTCCACAACATGAATCGCCCCCACTTCCAAATTATTGTATTTAAATAACTAGCAGTATCAATAACTCTATCCACAGTCTTCATTAGACCAAATTAATAATAAAACACCGTACCATTGAATCTATCCAGTATTTTGTTGATCGCTCTTGTAAAACAGTTTTTTTTTTTAAATTGTCTTTTTGTAGTAACATTTGGATATGACGAAACTTATTTAATATGAAACAATAATAAACCCTATGAAAAGTTATGGTTTCAAAAAGTAACGTTGGTTTCAAAAAGTAACGTTGCAAAGCATTTAGAATGTAGAATGTTGTACATTATTTGGTTACGTTGCAAAATTGGTGAAAACGTTACATCGGAGCACTTCTTGTAGTAGACAAAACCATGAAGACGCATCGTAACTTTTTGTCAAGCAAATAAATAACAGTTTAAATTTTATGAAAATCTGAAGTGAAAAAGGCTTTAATATATTTAAATTGGCGCTTAAGTAGGACGTAAAACTCCATTCATTTCATTTCATTTAAATTGGCGCCAGTCGCTGTACAAAATTAATATAATATATAGAACAAAACTTACATTAACAAAACAAACGCAAAGTCGAACCCATTGTGTGAATATTATATTATATATGATAGCCTTGCTTATAGAAATATAATGCATATCAAGGCTTTTTATTTGTGAAATCTAAGTTGTTTAGATCTGCAATCTCCTTGTGCAAATTTGTCCCGGTTTTTGCAAAAACAAAAAGGTTGTTATAGCGTTCAATCCTTGTGATATATAAGTATGAAAAAACCACAATGAATGCACAGTGTGTATGTTTTTGATTTCTTTGAAATCTAAATAGTCAACAGAAGACAGTTAGATATTCCATGAAAAGCGGAGATGTATTGTAGGTAAAAGGCATTAAACAATATATATAAAGTACATTCGAAGTCAATTGTTTTGTATCATTGCAATGAGGTTCTTATCTACCATCACTATAGTAACAAAGTAGGTATCAGCAACTAGGAAATTGTATCAATGTAACGTCGACATTTCTGATAAAATGATGCATTTTCACTTACATAATTAACCTAAAATTATGTATCATTTACACCTCAGTATACGTAATATAGTAATCAAACACTCCCTCATGCATGTAACCTTCCTTATATTTTAAGTATTTACACAGCCATGAGAAGGAATGAGTCTGATGTTTGGTACGTCCATGTGCGGTACAGTTAACAACTGTAATGGTCAGACTTATCCCGGATTTTGACTGCTGAGCTCGGCAGCAAGATCCATTTTTTGTCCGATCTTGTTTGAAAGTAGTACAGAAGTAACTGGTGGCAACTGTGATTTTTCAATAGTCCGAATCTAACATATCTTTCATATGTTTCAAGTTGCTAGCTGTCGTTCAGAACCAAATTGCTCTGAGATTCTGACACTTTGGTCGGCTTTAGAAGCATTGCACCAGTAAAATGCTTTAGCCATTTTCAGCAAATCCGACGAATCGACAGAGTCTTAATCGTCATTAATACGAGTGGTCCATATTTATGTTTGGGTAAAATGAATAGTTATTGAAAAGGAAAATTCGAATACTTATATGAATATAACGAAGAGGTGTTCTAATGAATTGGAAAAATACCAGTTTGTCTCACATGTCCATAATTAATTCATAATGAGCTAAATTAAAAGAGAATTACCAGCACAATTCCAATGAGTGACCGATCAAAGTCAAAAAAGTATTTTTTTGTTTATCAAGACTTGGACATTTATGATTGGTTAAAACTCTTAATTATATGCAATAAGAACATAGTTATTAAGATTAAGAATACATGACAATTCATGAGAAACACCAATCGATAAAATAGTTTGCTAAATTTGACACTAAAAAATAAGGAACCCCATCTTTAAACTACCTGAAACTGAAGTGGACTGCTTCATGTATGCTTTGTATCGGACTTAGATTTGCATAAATATATTTGCTATTGACTATACTCTGCCTAACAACCTTAGAGTTAACCGTCACAATGCCAAGCTATTATTAACTTTGTCTTATACCTTGACTTCAATAGTCACTTTTCTTGTGTCACATACATTTTCTGATTGTACGTTAGCGAATACAGCCAATCTGGGTCTGTAAAAACACTCTATCGAGGGCTCTCATTGACTATATTTTGCAAGTGTATAATCCTATCAAATAGCTGCATTTTGTGATACAAGAAAGGTGACTATTGTAGTCAAAGTATAACACGAAGTTCATAACAGCTTGACACTGTGAAGAGTTAACCCTCCTGGCGTGTGAACTATTATTAGTTTAACAGAAGTAATTGACGGAGGAGTCTAGCTTAGTAAATCTGATAGTGCTAATAAGGTTATCATATGTTATCATAATTATATTTACTAACCCACTATTTCTGGCGTTTTACCTACGTCTAGTAGGTTATTATAATATTAACTTATCTCTCAGAACCGTCTTGAAAGACTTCCACGGGTTAACTATTTAGATAGTGGTGCTCTTCAACCTAGTTCCAGTTTCGCATTCCTTGGGGGTTGATTAGCCCAATAAACTGTAATATTTAAAGAAACCAAAATCTGGATCTGATTTTTCGATTTGCTACGACCAAATTCCAATTTAAAATTCTTTAGGGGTTGATTAGCCCAATGATCTAGAGAATAAGTTGCTGCCAAAATCTTGACGAGTCGAAATGGAGTTTTAAGTTATAATTTTGAGCTCATATGTGAAATGAAATGAAATGAGTTTTACATTCAAATTTGCTACCACCTAAAAACACGAAACAAAATTTGGATCTTAATTTTTCAGTTTTGTGCTTGTGCTTCGAAAAAGCTTCAAAATACGGCATTGACCAGATTCTAATTCAAATTTTCATCAAGATTTTTTAATCATTCACAATCCCAACATTCTAAAATAAAAATTCTGCTGCCTGGCAGCAGAGTACTTCATTTTAGATTTTTGGGGCGCGGCTTGAACGAACTATGGAGTTTAAGTAGCAAGCATTCCATTGACCTTTGTGCAAACGAAAAAACACAAAACATGTTGCATTTGTTTACACTTGTGGCAATGGTGGCTCAGGGTTATCGTGACTCAATCTGCCAGCTTGTCAACAAGTCGGTTTGTGCACTGTCTTTTAATTTGGGTCTTTGACATACAACAATTATTGATGTACTTTCTCTTGAGAATGAATATAGTCTAATGCCAATTTTCTTCTTGCACTTAAACCGAAATGTCATATTATATTGCTTGGTGAGTGACATATAAGCTGAGCTTAGCAGATTTATTTTCAAAGTCCTTTATAAATCAAAATTCTTCCTATGGGGTCGCGAATTGGTTTGATATTTTCTCGTTTTAAAAGAAGCTGAAGCCAATCTGATTAGAAATTCCCCAAGCTGTGAAGATCGTGGCTATTCATGAAGGTTACTCCAATTGATTTGAATTTAGATTCAATTGTTTACTTGGTTTTTACTTCTATTGTGCTGTATAGAGGAATTTTTAAAAATAAATTTCAGTACACCTAAGCGTTTGATTAGAGCAATGTTGAATGGGCGCTGCATATACGAATATTTTGTTAAGTGAAGAGCTTGTTATTGATGTGACATAAGCGGTCGAAGTCAAGATTTTTACTACCTAATGCAATCATCAATAAAGAACTTGCAGGTCATGTAAGAACAATCTATTCTTTGAATTGTCGACAAAGGGGCCATGACTATCCATAAGTATAAGTGTCCCCTTGCATAACTACATAAATTGTATTTGAGAAACGGCTATATTTTCTTAAATCACTGTTATGCTGCATCTATTGTTTTGCTGAGGGAAATGTATTAAAAAACGGCAATCTTTTCTTTAAATGGCAAATGGAATTGTTACCCTATTAACTGATAGCTCCCAACATTTAGAAGAATATCGGATAGGTGGTGGTATGGTTAAAAAAACACAGTCCGTGAACCTAAAACATAATAGTTTGATTTACGTGACTGAAACTTTAAAGGAATTGTAATGAAGTTTTCTTGTTTTTTTATGTGTATCGGGGGCACTGAAAGCATGTGCACCATTCCAATTATCAATCAGATGTCTGTGGTTCCTGCAATCCCAGTAAAACTAAGTGTTTGATGACGTCACCAATCGCAAAATATATTTTATCACATGAGGCAATTCGCGATTTGTGACGTCATAAAACGTTTAGTTTTAGTGGAATTGCACGAACCGCAATTGTCTTATTGAAAATTGGAATGGTGCAAACTGAGGCAATAAGTGTCCCCGATACAAAAAATTTAGAAAACTTCTTTACAATTCTTTTAGGAGCAATAATAACAATTTTGGGAAGTCGTAATTTTTTCTTCTCTTACCTTCACGTTTCACATAATTCCAAACGTTCAATAAATAATTCCTTGGCAAACAGAGAGGCAGAAGAAACGAAATAAAGATAGACGAGATATAGAAAAACACTTATTTTAATTTTGACAATTGAGTTAGCAGATTTTAATGGCATCACAAGAAAATCAAAACTCTACGACGTATGGAATTTGACAAATATACAGTTGATGAAAACACCAGACTCTCAGTAAATGGCAATTGGATTAAAAAGCTAGTTTCTCGCTCAGCAGGTCACAGATTCATCGTCGACTCATTTATACAGAAATCCACAAGAAAAAAACATTAGCGAACAAAAGAAAATTGGAGAATCATGGCTACTATCACAGGTATTATGTATAATAACGTACGGTAATGTTTCAAAAAAATAATAATAACAAATATTATACGCTTACACATGAATGGAAACGCAGGCCACACGCACGTACGTATTGTCTTCATACTCACAACCACACACACAATATTTCACTCACAGAAACGCCAACACTAAATAAAAAATGTCGAATGCCTTCTTGCTGCGTAATGAGTTAATATGTCTTTATCCGTCACCGTTGAACCGCGTTTTGCGCCAGTATTCGTCGGACTGGATATCCTACGTCCAGGGCGACCGCGATGTTTTCTTCCACTGCCAGTTCCTCCTCCTGGGTGTCCGTTTCCTGGTAAACCTTCATCTAAATGAATAACGTTTCTTTCGGGTTCCGGGCTACGTTGTCCAAGTCCACATTCGGCATCAGCCGCTTGCTGAATCGCCAACATTTGGGCCCGTTTGTCTAATTGTGACGAATGCCAGTAATACGCAATACAGAAAAAGATTAATATGGACACTGCTACAACTGGGCTAGCAACCACTAATGCCAGCGGAAATTCTTTAGTCACCCCGGGTTGAAGTGGTGCACTAAGAGGTTTGTGGACGTCGTCCACCACAATGTTTGTGTTGGACACATTCAGTGAGGAATAATTGGCAATGTTTGAAACGTTGAAAATGTCGGTGTCATTGGTCACTTTGGGTATAAACATAGGTGAAGGTGTGACCATCTCCTGGTTTGCTTAACTTCCGGTTTGAAACCGCGAACTTGGTTCCTAAAAGCATCGGAGTTTTAATATCCGAACTCTGTTTTAAGCACGCCTTGATGCAGATCGAAGTGTACTGGACTCGTAAAAATAACCTTCTGTATTTTCAATTTTATCTAGTCCAAACGCCCTCAAAAAATTTCACGACAATTTCTAAAAATATCTTTCAGAATTTTTATGAATGGTTTTTCAGAAATTAAAAAAAACGGAACATCACTCACATTGGTTGTCCTGAAGCAAGGCTGTACTATGTCGATTCAGGTAAACATAACAGTCTACTACATTAATTCCCTAAGGCAATGGAGTTAAAATAGCCCATTCAAACAGATCTGATAGTTTAACCATAGAAAAAACAGAGGCTTAACTTGATTCCATAATGTTTTTCCAGCCCACTACAGATTACAGAAGAAAAAAACATTTACAATACTCCTTAGGCGATTTTATTTCCAATAACATTGTTTTGTTAAAACACGTCACTTAGAATCCTGTGTTATGCGATAAAAAAATCCTTGTTAAAGAAATCATTATTCCGTTCTTACTGAATAAATCTCACATTAAACCGATATTATATTCCTCCTAGATCCTGTCGATAGGCAAATCTTCATTATTTTTTTTTGTCACGTCACCCACATATAAATATAGTATTCAATATTGTATTATACTCGTGTGTCAAGTTACTAGCAAGTAAACTTGTATTACAACTATACTCTTATATTTCCACCGTTCTTTCATAGTACTAAATCACTGTATTAGTTTCCTAATAGTCATTCACAATATACTAATGTTACTTTCCTGTCGATACCAATAACTTTGTCTATCGTGCTTTCAATTCAATTGAGCTCCAATCTCTACTGCTTAAAATTTCTCTTGTTAACAAACTGTCCTTCATTGGTTAGACGAGATTTAGAACTGTTGGTAGGGAGCGTGCCATGCATACGAAGTATGTGAATACACAACGAGATTTACGTTGTCTTCTGCCACCACGAAACCGATCAGAACCAAACTCATTATTTTAACTGTACACAAGTTGATAGTAGATCTATCAGTCAGTGGATCGCCGTCGCTTTAACCAAATCGTTATGAATATTGGATAGTGATTTGGTGCCGAGTTAGCCATCAGGGCAACACATTAATGGAAGAAATATCTGATATTATGAACCGACAGTCATAATTACTGGTACCAATAACATTATGTAAAGGAGGTCTCATCGTCTATGGAGTAAAAGGGGGACGGGGGCAGTTGTTAATTAATCGCGATACTAATTAAAATACTAGTTATAAAATATAGCTAGTTGTATGACAAATTTAAAAAATAAAATATCAAGTTGCAAGTTAAGAATACTAGTACATTGAGCATTTGAAAGTTTCACGGCAAAAAGTTAAACGGGATTCGTTGCGTAGATGTTCCCCTTGTGTTTGCGTTTTAGTGACTTCATGATATTCATTTGAAAAGCGTAAAGCCGTGAATATACGATGTACACTGTCCGGTGCGGTGTCCGATGCGGGATTATCGATACAGTAGAAAAAAGATCACACGACATACGGCTCCGGACACGATTCGCTTCTGCTATTCTCTACTGTATCTATCGTACATCATCTATTAGCACCTAAAGATTCAAATTTCTCGAATTATTTTGGGCAGTTATAAGCCATTTAAACAATGCTTTGCTAACAGTTATTATAGTACAAAATATCTATGTAATCTTGAGTTTCATATTCAACCATGCTTTCAAATTCTTTTGTTGAATTCAATTCATTCTGTTTCTTAATCTTAAATTAAGCTTTATGTAGTTTACTAATCCATAATGATTTTGATAACACTCTTGAACTAATGAAACGTTCAATACCTCTCCAAGGAGTGCTCATTACCTTCATTTGGATGAGGGTTTCAGACATATTAGGGCCAATTTGCCTTCAGGCCGATATAGCTCATGATACACATAACGATCACTCATTAAGATTCATCCATCTAGAAACACTGGTAATGTCTGTTATGAATGTGTGTAGACGCATATCTTAGGTTAGATAGAATTACTTTCAGTCGCTCTATCAGAAGATAGGCAATACCGAACTTGATCTCCATTTAAATCTTTGGGTGTCAATCAAAATGAGTTTTATGCCTTACTTTCTGCTTCAGTTTGGACAACTACGTCATGTGCTATTCAGGATGCTTGTCCAGAACAGTGGCTCTTTCTTTGAATTGTCAAAGTAATCATTTTCATTTCAAACTTGTAACTCGCGGGACCTTAGTTTATTTTCACCTCCAAACGACTAGACGCTTTTTTACTTTGTAACGAGAAACAAGTGTAATGCTACGACCTAATGCTGCTTCATAGGGTTTACTGTGAAAGTTACGCTAGAGCTCTGCAACAGATTCAGCTTGACGGAGACTACTGAGGAATGATGATTGCCAAATGATGCTGCTCGGATCAGCTTAAATGTTTTAGGTTAATTATTGTGGTCACCGTCGTAGAAATTTCCAGCGACCTAGATCTTCGGACCATGAGTTATCCATGTGGAATTGAGGATTAAATCTTTCAATTTCCTTTTACCGGGAAGGTGTGAGTTCCAAGACTTGAGCCAATTACCTTCAATTTCCTTGATTTAAGTTGGACTATTGACACTTCATTAACTAATAAAACATCGTGTCTTTACACTTCTACTCCTTAGTTAAATAGAAGTCATACTGAGTTTCCTAAATTAACCATCTCACTGGTAATAAAAATCCATTTCTCATTCTAAATCTAGACATTCATTCAAATCAGAGCTTGCCATTTCTTATAAGGGGGTTTTCCTAATTTTGGGTTTCGCATATAACCGCAAAGAGGCATTATCGACAGAATTTTACAAGATGTCTTTTTCCTCGTCTTACTAAAGTTAATCTTTGAATACATACGACCATGTATCACAACATATTCCATTTCCGGTTTTTGTGGATGGAATTTGATACTTATCTTATAACACATAAATGTGCATGTGTTAAAGGGATCGTAAAGAGGTTTTGCAAATTTCGTATGTGCACCGGGGACACTAGTCCAAATTTCAATCAGATGGCTGTGGTTTCCGCAATTCCACTAAAACTAATAGCGAAGTCCGAATGTGATATAGTGACGATTAATGACATCATCAAACACTTAGTTTTAGTGGAATTGCATCTAATTGAAAATTGGAATGGTGTAAACTCATGCTATCGTTGTCCCCGATACACATTAATTTTTTGGGGAAACCTCCTTACAATTCCCTTTAACGTTACTAATAACTAGATAAAACTAGATTGATTTCATTTCTGATCTTAATCAAATCAGACTGAGAAAGAAAATATATCAATATTACATAATAATGATTGGATGATTTGTTGAAAACATGTAATTTGTCATGTAATTTATCCAAGTAATTTAAGCATGCAAATTTTCTGCTGTATCTAGTCTATATTCTAAGTTTAAAAAATTTTATGCTCTACAAATTGAAACCAGCTGACTGCCTGCTTCGTGTTCGAACAATTTTAAAGGGGAAATATGTGTCAGCTCCATAAAAACGATAATCGGCAGTAATCCTTGTTTTCTGAATTACATTTTGCCATTAATTTCACGAAATCACATAGATTTATTTCAATGACTTAATTACAATAATGAAATATTTTCACTGTTGAAATAGTGCTCAATACATCAGTAATGGTAGAGCCATATAGAAATACCACTGTTCAAATAGTGCTCAATACATCAATTGTAGAGCCATTATAGAAATACCACTGTTAAAATAATGCTTAATACATCAATTGTAGATCCATATAGAAAAACCACTTAAAATAGTGCTTAATACATCAAGTGTAGATCCATATAGAATAACCACTGTTAAAATAGTGCTCAATACATCAATTGTATGTAGAGCGATATAGAAATACTACTGTTCAAATAGTCCTCAATACATCAATGGTAGAGCCATATAGAAATACCACTGTTAAAATAGTGCTCAATACATCAATTGTAGAGGCATATAGAAATACCGCTGTTAAAATAGTGCTCAATACATCAATTGTAGAGGCATATAGAAATACCACTGTTAAAATAGTGCTCAATACATCAATTTTAGAAGCATATAGAAATACCACTGTTTAAATAGTGCTCAATACATCAATTTTAGAGGCATATAGAAATACCACTGTTTAAATAGTGCTCAATACATCAATTGTAGAGGCATATAGAAATACCACTGTTAAAATAGTCCTCAATACATCAATGGTAGATCCATATTGAAATATCACTGTTAAAATAGTGCTCAATACATCAATTGTAGAGCCATATAGAAATACTACTGTTTAAATAGTGCTCAATACATAAATTGTAGAGCGTTAAAGAAATACCACTCTTAAAATATTGCTCAATACATCAAATGTAGAGCGATATAGAAATACCATTGTTAAAATAGTGCTCAATACATCAAATGTAGAGCGATATAGAAATACCATTGTTAAAATAGTGCTCAATACAACTGTAGAGCGATATAGAAATACTACTGTTCAAATAGTGCTCAGTACATCAATTGTAGAGCCATATAGAAATACTACTGTTTAAATAGTGCTCAATACATAAATTGTAGAGCGTTAAAGAAATACCACTGTTAAAATATTGCTCAATACATCAATTGTAGAGCCATATAGAAATACTACTGTTCAAATAGTGCTCAGTACATCAATTGTAGAGCGATATATAAATACCACTGTTAAAATATTGCTCAATACATCAATTGTAGAGCCATATAGAAATAGCACTGTAAAAATAGTGCTCAATACAATTGTAGTGCCATATAGAAATACCACTTTTAAAATAGTGCTCAATACACCACATTTAGAGCCATATAGAAATACCACTGTTAAAATAGTGCTCAATACATCAATTGTAGATCCATATAGTAATACCACTGTTAAAATAGTGCTCAATACATCAATTGTAGAGGCATATAGTAATACCACTGTTATAATAGTGCTCAATACATCAATGGTAGAGGCATATAGAAATACCACTTTTAAAATAGTGCTCAATACATCAATTGTAGAGGCATATAGAAATACCACTGTTAAAATAGTGCTCAATACATCAATTGTAGATCCATATAGTAATACCACTGTTAAAATAGTGCTCAATACATCAATTGTAGATCCATATAGTAATACCAGTGTTAAAATAGTGACCAATACATCAATTGTAGAGCTTTACTAATTTATATAGTTTTCAAAATATATCATGTAATTTTGGTCGTTCTCGGGCCTTAGACCAACCCGAATTCATTTAATCTCATTGTATATATAACGCTCCAAAAGACATTTATCACCGTAGCCTGTATGTAATAATAGTAATAAAACATAATATATCAATACAGTTTATTGATTAAGTATAAATTCTAGTTAAATATTTTGTAGTTCGTGATTTATGTAGAAACTAGAACTTTAACTTTGTATTAGTATTTAAAGGAACGTTACCACGAATACTTCATAAATTTTATTGGATTTGGAAATGAATTTAATGAAAAGATATGAAGGCGTGTAGTGTGCAATGAGAACGTTGACTGAACATCGGCATAAGCCTACTTTCTTTCGAGCAGCATAAGCCAACCTCTGTTCGAATTCCTGCTGTCGATGGATCTTAAATGTTTATACGTTTATTGTCCCATGCTGTTTTATGCTTTTTCCATGTGCATCTTAGACCGGCATCAAAGAAAGTGAGACATCAGATCGCAAACGGGTAAAGCGAGGACCCAAATATTTTTATGCTGAAGTATTAACTACATTTAACTACACTATT